TCCACTCCACTCCACTCCACTCCACTCCACTCCACTCCACCCCACTGCACTCTGCTGCACCCCACCCCACCCCACCTGACATGCTGCCCTGGTCAAAAATTATAAGATTTATTAACAACGTATTCCTGATAAAGAGAATTAATATTTTGCTGCCCTGTTGATTATTTTCTGCAGGTGGTTGGCAGGATGAATGACAGGAAAAAAAAGATGAAGAAATAAAATAAAAATATAAGGATAGAGGAAGGAGAAATGAAATAAAGTAAATAAATTAACAAATGAATGAAAGAACCAATAATACGTATGTATATAAAAGGAAAAAACAGAAAAATAGATAATCAGAGAAGCAGGTAAAAGGAAAGAAACAATATTGCGAGGAACAGAGAACAACACTCTGCAACACTCTGCTCTATTGCTACTGAGCACTGTAAAGTTCAGTGGTAATATGCCTAGCTTCTGTGTTGCACACATTTAGTGTCTGCATTCTAACATTTAGTGTCTGCATTCTAACATTGTCATTATTTGTAAATTTACATTTTTGTTATTTTTTATATATTTATATTTTAGTCTTCATTTTTCTTTTTTGTTATATATTTATCTTAGAGGTCTCTCTTGTAAATCACCTTATGGTGACAGCGATAACCTCAATAAAGATTATTTATTATTATTATTATTATTAAATGGGATTAAGAGAAAAAAATAGAAAATGTAACAAAAAGACACAATAAATCTATGAATAATGACTGTAAAAAATTGCCAAAACCAAATGAGTTTTATTAAATTATATATTCCTATACACACCATCTTTCTATAACGTGTAAGTCTGTAGTTTCTATAACAAGCTTAAACATGCATTGTCACCATAAAAACAAGCAAGCCACAGAATTCCATAGACTGAGAATTAGACTTTTTCATGAATTTATAGAAATAGCATCGTGATTTGTAAATATTGGCTTATGACCTTAGAGGGGTTGCGCATTGAAGACACATAAATATGGATACACCTATTCAAAGAATTTACTCTCTAAAGAATGGCACGTGGTCTGAAATGGGAAAACATTGTGCCCCACCGAAAAAACCCGGAAAAAACCTGAAGGGGTGGGGAGGGAGGACTCTGTGAAAAAAGTACCGGGGATGCTCGTCGTATCTCTTAGGGGTAAAAATTCGTCATTTGGTATCTTTTAGGGTGTAAAATGCAAATTTTTGAAAACCAGCATTTTCTGGTAAGTTTTTTTGGGCTACCTGTGTCTCCGAGACTTCAGTAATTTGTGGTCAGCAAAACAACGAGTGTAAATAAAATGGAAGATGTGTTTACGAAGTCGAAGTAAAAATGGATATTTTCATTTGTTTATTGGCAAACTTAACTTATGGCTGCAATCTGCAGGTATGTATGAAACTTGGGTAGTAATGTTTTGCCGCGAGAAGGAATAGAACATCAAGAGATCGGGTTTTTCATGCAGTTATGTTTGACGTTTGAAATCGTGAAACTTGGAAAACTGCATTTGAATGAAGAGCTCGATCTCTTTATCGCCGAGGAGTTAGTCAGAGATATTTGTAGGGAGTAATGAGGGTAGACTTTCTGTGGTAATTTAGTGATAATTTTTGAGATCTATGGAATGTTTTGATCGCTTATATTTCAATCAACATGAGAAAACACAATACTTGTAGGTGTCCTTCCTCTCTGAAGGATGAGAGCTAAGGTGTGACCTGTTTCCTCTGGCTATACTGGGCTTTTCCCCCCTTCCTCCATGTATTCTTAATAGTAGATATATAGTATATTTAGCTTGGTCTCCCCGATTAGCAATGCATGTGTGCCAAGCTAGAAGCTTGAGACTATTAAGTTTATTATTATCGTTATTATTATGGCAAGTTTTATTTGTCTGTATATATCATGTTTACATTGACCAGCGGACTAAGTCTAGGCTGGTTAAGTTCATCATTTTTTTCAATCCTTTCTTCAGCTTATGCATATTCATAGAACTTCTTGACTATATTAACGTTCTGGCTTAAAATCCATTTCTGACATCGTTCTATAAGAAAGTTCAGTTCCCTGTCTGTATTTGTAATTGTTCTTAGGTCTTTTCTTAGCTGTTCGTGATGTCCTGCGAGAAAGTCAAACACTATGTTAATCTGATTTACACTTGAGCTTTTGCACTCTTTTTTGATGCCTGCACGTAGTTCCGTGTATTTTTCTTGTTTTTCAACAGTTCTCTCCGCAATCTTACCAACTTGACAAACTTATTATTATTATTATTATTATTAGTCTGAGGAAACTTTCTGTGGTATTTTAGTAATAGTTTTTGAGATCTATGGAATGTTTTGATCGCTTATATTTCAAACAACATGAGAAAACACATGTTAAAAATATTTCAGCAATCTGTATTCGAAATCAAACAGATAAATTGCAGGATTTTTTTGAGAGGGATGGGGATTCAAAACCTACAGTACCTTCAATAAGTGACATCATTTTTGATGTCATACATACACTATACTAGTCTCCTACGCAGCCTACTTAGGGGAGTGAGCATGGTCTGATGACACTAATAGTGGCTGTGTAGGAGAAGTACACTATGCCAGTCGTAACACATTATATAACACAGCTATTTGAAAGAAAAGACGCTTATAAAGCACATGTGCCTACTACTTTTTGGATAGTAATAAACTCTAACTCCATTATATTTTTGTGTGTGTTTGTACGGCCATTACACAGTGAGTACCAATAGTGTAGTTGTTTTACGGGTTGTATTACATCATGTTTTTTCTTTCATTGATTAATTTTTTTATATTGCTGATGTATATTAAACTAGATACAAACACTGATCTTGTAGACTCTTTTCGACACATAAATTCTCACAAATTTGTCATGTAGTCGGAGTGAATTAATAGGTGAGGAAGCCTTTTTCAACAGAAAATTTTTTGAAATATTATTGTAGGAGTACAGTGTTTGTAGACTAGATGGTTTTGCTTTGCTAATGCTTTGCTATGAATGTTGATATTGAGCACTTATTGGCCGTGTTTGAGGGCCGTACAGGGAAATATTTGGCTGGAGATTATGCTGCACGGACTGAGGGTAGCGATCAGTCGTCCATTAGTAATGTCTGTTCTACTTCATATGTGATTATTTATGGCAATTAACAGCTATAAGACAAGTAATGAAATACTTCATGATCATTTACATCGGTGTAATTTGGGCTTCCTGTGTTATGCCAATTCATTTTGTGCAACTGTTGCGTGACTGAAGCAAAATGGCGGTCATATAACGTTTTCCTTGTTTTCTCGATGAAAAAGCCACAATGTTCTCCCAGACTTAGACCAGTTGTCCCTTGATTACTCGTCACAACCCAATGACAATAGTGTCTACTACTTTGCAGTAGGCACTAAAGTTGAGGGGGAACAGCGATAGGTAATAAGCGATAAGAGTAGGAGGTCATTCCAAGATGCAAGAATAGGTAGTAAGAATGGCTCGTATTTCTTATCATGATTATTCTTGTCAAGAACATAGATGTTGTTGTTGTTTGTTGTTGTTGTTGAGTGTTCACGTAGTTAACAAAACCATTTAAAACACCTTGATTATTCGTGTTTAGATCCATGCCCACTGTGCATTTCAGTCATGCAGTCGCCAATCACTAATCACCATTTGCTGTTTCCCCCTTCCTACATAAAAGGAAATGACTTTCAATAGAAAAGGTTTCAATATCCTAATGCGAGGATTCTCTGTAATATATCGTATGTTGAAAGGGGAAAACGACAAGTCGTAAAAGGGGGGGTCAGGACCCCCTGGATCTGCCCTTGAACAGGCTACTTTGTGTAGATTATAGCACATTTCTTCACTTGTTACAGCTTGCCTTTTAAACAATATATATTTGGGCAAACTGTTTTTCCAAAGATTTTTTATGATTGCTATCGAAATGCTGATAACTTATTTGTTGCCCATGCATTATGCCTGCTCAGTGGCATGAACGGCAGCAATAAAGGACGACCACTTTTGCTTTGTTGCTGTAATTCTGTCACAATTGTTTTATGAGGCAGGATTGTTTGCCTTGTGCCAAATATGAAATGCTGATTAGCATAGGTAGAAATCATTATAATAACTTTCATCCAAACCTAACATATCTGTCTTAAAATTCCGATGCATTGAGCTAATAAAGGTAATATTGTGTAAAAATGGTCTTATAGTGAAGCTTGTTAAAAAAACGATGTAGAGCCACATGATGTAGGGTCTCAGGTTGGCACATGTGACAGAGTCAAAAGACACTATTTTGGACAGTAATTATTTAGTCATAAATCTATATTTTTAATTAGGAATGCCTCGTGTACACATAGGAATGTAATTCTTTAGTTAAC